TTAAAGCCCCTTTTAAGTCTGTAATAATACTCCTTTTCAGATGAGGTGAAAACTATTCTGGGATTAGGCAGCATAATTTTAATAATGTTATAATCTTCATACTATTATTCCCCATCCTATTCACTAAGCAGACTAACATCTTGTTTGCCTCTCTCTCCATCCCTGTTTTTTTTTCCCCCCTGGATTGCTGCTGCCTGCAGAGCAGCATCAAGACACCCTGATGATCAGGTCTTCTTCCCAGTTAATACTGTTAATTAAGAACCATGTGAAAAAATACCTTGATTCCCTTCTGATTAACTTGCATCAATCAGCTTTGGTGCTAATTTGCCATACTGTTGCCTTTTCTTGTGGTCATTTGCTTCTTTTCTGGCTTTGACAAACTTACCTCTGTGTCAGCTCTGTATTTGGCTACTTCACAAATTCATCTCCTTCTCCAGATCCTCACTAAACCTATTAGACAGTGGGTTTAGTACCAATCCATATGGCTTCCTCTTGATAGTTAACCTTTTGCTATGATGAAAATTCACTATTTAATTCTGTCTTCTTTTGCTTTAGATCAATGGCAGTATTTGCCCTCTTCCCTTCTCCTCCTCAGCTGTTTTGCAGCAAAATGAATTGCCATCTGATTTCTCCATCTTGTTAAATCCCTTGAACAGGTTGATAAAACCCCAGGAAAAATCAGAAGGACTAGTTCCTTTTGCAGAAGCTGATAGTTGTTTATACCTACTAGGGATTTCCTCACCCGGCAGTGCTTTTGTCTGCAGCAGGATAAAACCCAGGGGATTCGCAGTGATCTCGGAGCTCTTTGTATGGTTCAGTGTGATTCACCCATGGAGCTGGGCTGCAGAAAGATCCTAAACCTGCTCTGCAGGTACCCGAGAGCAGTCCGATGGCTTCTGTTGCCTCCTCTGCCCTGATCCAAGACATTTTAGGCACAGGTGACGGGCATCACTGTTTGCTTTCCTAATTTCTGGGTTTCTACATTCTTGCTTTGGAGGCTGGATCTCTCCTGCAGCTCCCTGGAGAACTTTTTTGGGTCTGGGCGCAGGTACCCCTGCAACTTGCTCTTCTCCTTGGAAGGGGAATTGTAATTTTCACCATCCGTGTTGTGGTTCACCATCCCCATAGTGGGAGATCTACTCCGCCCCATCCCTGAAAACTTACTACTTAGGGCTTTAAAAGCAAAAAAAAAAAAGAAGCTTATTTTTGGAAGGATCTGCGTGAATGTTGTCTGAACTGGATCTCCAATGCAAACGGTTGCTCCTACTTTGGAATAATAGGGCACAGGGGATATGTATTTTCCTCTCTCCTTCTAAGGACGTATGTGCTGAGACAACATTAAACTCCAGAGAGGAGACGTGCAACAGGAATATGATCAAAACCTACTGCTGCAAAAAGCAGGAATGGTGACTTAAGGGTGCCTATCCTCCCTGGGTAGAGACCGTCAGTGGAGAGATGTATTGCATTTCTATCTCATTACCCAGAGCTGTTGAAGGTTGAAATGCTGTTAAATATACCACAGGCTCTTATTAAATGGCTATATTAAAAAAAAAAAACACCACCACCACCCCACCCCCCAGATTGCAGCCGGTGGAAGCGCTTGCTTTATTTGAGTATCATTTTTTCAGACAGGCTGACTTTTAATAAGCCTCTTGCGCTGGCTGATGTGGTAGCTCAGCGTGACGGTGGTGTAGTGGGATGCTCAAACCCCGCAGCCGACCCGGGGGCAGCGCGAGACCCTCAGCGGCGCTGGGCTGAGCGGCTGGGTGGGCGCTGGCCGGGAAGGATCGCTCCTGCTGCCATTGCCCACCCGGCAGCCAGCACCTTTTACTGGGTATGGAGGTTGTGTACCGGTTTTTGTGACGTGCCCTAGACCCTGAATGCTGCAGAACAGTGCTGCCTGTGATCAGGATAGTGCTTGAGCGCAGGCTCGTAAGTTGGGGCGTAGCGATGGCACCAAGATGTGTATTGGGGTGGCGGTGGCTTCGAAATACGTATTCGGCCCCGATTCAGGATAGCACACACCATAAGCAGTGACTGAACTGAAACAAAGTGTAAGTAAAGGGTAGAGGATGGACATAAGGCACTAAACCATAGCTCCTATTTTTTGATGACATTATGCCCCCATCCCTGGCAGTGTTCAAGGCCAGGTTGGATGGGGCTTTGAGCAACCTGGTCTGGTGGAAGGTGCCCCTGCCCATGGCAGGGGGTTGGAACTGGATGATCTTTAAGGTGCCTTCCAACCCAAACCATTCTGTGGTTCCATGATTATGGTGATTCCGGGGCTTGCCCTGTCAGTGGCAGTGCCAGCACCATCTAACAGCCCGATTGCTTTGAGCTCGGAAACCCACGTGCCGCCTCCTTCCGTCCCTGTTCCCTGCCCTGCCTGCTGCTCTCCGCACCTACAGCTGTTTTCCCAATAATAATAATGAGCTTTCTAGTGGCACTAAATACTCTACTTTCCATGTTACTTTCTGTCCTGGTGTTAACCACAAATTATAACATAATGTAATAAAGAAACTTGAAAGCAAGTTTCTTTAAAAATTTTTTTCTTTTAAAACCTTTTTTTTCTTTAAAAAAAGTTTGAGGAAACATAATAAAGAAGCTTGAGGTGTATTTCTATAAGCAGTGGCTAGAAAATGTCTGTTTTGACTGAGCATCCAGGTGGTTAGGGACACAGTGGAGCTGCAAATGTCGCATGATGTTTACTGAATAAAGTATCTGTGTTTGCTGTGTGGTGATGGCACTGCTGAAATGCTCTTTCTATGGGGACGAATCAGCCCCCAGCAGGGTAGTTGCAACTGCTGGAGCATTTCGGGAGGTTCACCCTGCCAGATAACGTCCACTCCCTGAAATCTGGCCTTGACTGTGTTTGATTTGTTGCTTGGCATGTCGGTGCTCAATTCCTTAAGGCAAATCATGGCTGCATATATCCTAAGCTGCCAAAATATATGTGATTTTTAAAGATGAGTCTAAGACTGGGAACAATGGTCCGCAGGCTTATGGAAGGGAAGACGATATATCTCTCATCTTGCTCATCTTACGGGAGCACGATTGGTGTTTCTTTAGATGTAAAGGAAAAGACTTGCTGAATCTTCATCCTGCCTGGCAAGGGCAGTGACTTTTGGGGGAATTTTGGATGCTGAACCTGGATATCCTGTCTTTTGCTTTCTGCTACTTAAGACTATTTTCACTGCCACAACTTACCTGTAGCTCCATGTACCCCAGCAGAGTCGCTTCCCACTTTTGGGGGGATGCTTTGGGGTTTTGTTTATGGTGAGTCTCTAAAGCTGGTCTTTTTTCCTTCTACAGCCATATAAGTGAAGGGCAATATTTTGCTTGTAATGGTATAAAGTGTTTATTGTGGAGTTACTGCCGATCCCTGTGTACCTGCGTGCAAAGTGTCTAACATCTGTGTACTGCACTAGCCATCGGATTTCCGTGTAAAGCAGGACTAACCTTTTTCTCATCTCAGGAGCTGAATTTAGTTCACTGATATGGCACGGTAACTCCTTATATCCATTTTAATGGTCTGGTGAAATTCTGTTAGCAAAATACCTAATGAATGTTGCGATTCAATCAGGGTAATCTAGAGTGTAATGTGCGGAGCGGTGCCAGCATTATATAAATCATTAAACATCAAAACGTAAAAAAAAAAAAAAAAAAACCCTAATCGTCATCTAACTCCAAAAGCGCCTGTGAAGGGCTGGGGACGAAGCCAGGCGTGGGCAGCGCAGGCGCCTGGCTGGGACGGGGATGGTGGCGAGCTGGGGTGGGATGGTTCTCCAGCTTGGTTCCCTGTGCTTCACCGGTTGCGTTTTTGGGTAACATAGATGCTGTAGCAGAGGGAGGGGGTTGTTTGTGTGCTCTGGAGTCCCCCCAGGCCCTTGCAAGTCCTAGAGGGTGAGCGGTTATTAATTAAAGGGGTGCTTTAAATAAGACAAAGGAGCATAGTTATTGCAGAGAAGTTTTCTGTAGACAGTTCGGTTTTCTGCACCAACTCCATTTATGTTGTAAACTGGGGACTACACTTTATTTCGGCTGTTTTGGCCCTGGGAACTCTTGAGGCAGACAGGTCAAAAGGTGCAGTTGTGCTCTTTAAGCAAAGATTTTATAAAGATAAACGGTTTAGAGGTTTGGGGATTGTTTTTAGTTTTTAAACAAAGTCTCTTGAAAGTCTTCCTAATGAGAAGCAAATCCAGCTAGTAAAGACTCTGCATTTGCTTTTGAAAAGATTGAATTGGAGGGAAATCTCTGGCTTTGGCCACGGGTCTGCTCTGCTGGGAGAGGTTATCTGTGGAGAACAAAACCAAAAGTAATTGGTCCTGAAATACAGACATGTTTAAAATGCACTGCAGGCTCCCTGGGAGGTTGGAGTGTGATTTGAAAGACTAATGCAGAATACAGAATTGTAACATTCCTGACTGTATATATAGAGAGATATATATGGATGACCGTGTGAGGTTTTAAGGTGGGCGTTTTATCGGCACTGGTCTGATTTTGTGCCCGTCTGCTGGATTAGGATAGATAGGTATTTTGCTTTCACTCAAAAACTGAAAATGGATAAGCAGGGTGGGCGCAGATTTCCCAGCCCTCGCCTCTGCTAGCAAACATGGTTTGCGCTTGATAGTCACTTCAATCAGATGGAAGCCACAGAATTCTCCATCACGGAGAAATCCTTTTTATTAAACGGACGCTGTCTTGGGTGGATGAAAACCTTTGGGAAGGCTGCAGAGCCCACGTCAGGCTCCTGGGGGGCTGCCCCTGAGCCCCGCCAGCGTGTGCCCATCCACTGCTGGGAGCGGAGCCCGTTCGAGCCATCCCCGCCAGCTGCTTCACCAGCGGTTCGCGTTGTTACTCGGCAAAACCAGCGCAGGGATCTCAGCTGGGGGCCCCCCGCTAAAAAAAAAAAAATAAAAATGAAGCTTGGCAGCTGCGGCTGGGACACAGCCGGGGCGAGAGAAGGGAGCAGAGCTGGGAGAGCCGTCGGTCGGTGAACGATGCTCACCCAGATCGACGATTCCTCCGGCCGCTGTCCCCTCCGGGGACAGACAGATCCCCCCCAGATCTGCGCCGGGATGGACAGATGGCGGCCGGTGCTCAGCTGCGCCCAGCGCTGCCTTCTCTGGCCCGCAGAGAGCCGGCTTGTATGAAGCCGCTCGATGCACGCTCGGAGCCTCGCAGCCAGCCTGTTTCTAAAGACAGCTTGTGAAAGACCGTTGAGTGCAAATATTAGGCATGGCAAGGTGAGAAATGGGGTGTTTGCAGGGTGCTGGGCATGCGCAATCTGTGCTGCAAGCCTGAGAGGTTTTTGGTCTCCCAGGTCTGTCCTGCGGACCGTTCCCTAACACCGACTTTCTTTATTAAACCAGTGTATTTTAAGCCCGAAGCAATGCGTTATCTCTCAAGAAAAAGTATGCTGAGTCTTTTTTTTTGGCATAGTTATAGCTAGGAGTTTTTGTCCTGCAATGCTTGAGTCTGGGGATATTTTAAGAGCTCTGCTGTCTTGTGCTGGGAGGGAATACAATAAATATGTAGATAGGGAGTGCTGCTGCTTTGGAAGGTAAATGAAGGGTCTGTGCTGAACTGACACTAGCTGAAGAATTTGTTCAGCCTAATTAGCAGCAAATCACTTCTGTGTCCATCCTTGCTTGGAGAGATGGGAGCCAATTGCCCCCCCCTTATCCCCTGCTGCCCTCCGTGGCTTTTCAGAGCCCTCCCTGGCTGAGCAGCTGAGGGTTTTTGTGAGGACGGCAGATCTGCATCCACGTGGCATTGCAGACCGACGAATGCAAAATGGCATTACTGGAAATTCGTGGAAAACTGTACGCCCATCTTGGGCTTTGTCTCAGACTGTTCAAGCTGTCACCGGAACTGGTCACAATCGATCAGCTTTTAAATTTCATGAAATTTTAATTAAAGAATGGAAAGACTACGAAGACATCATAGGACAAGAGCACTGGAAACAAATACAATTTCACTGCCAACCATTAGCCAGAAAAGCAGCAAATGGTTGACTGCACATCACCATTGCAGTCTAATGAAAAGTACAGCTCTTGGCTTCGGCGGGCAGGTCATTAGTGACTGAATAATCAGTGACATTTCCCTTCTAAATCTGACACAAATGAAGTGCAGTGCTCTGGAAAAAGCCATTAAGTGCAAAGCCTTGCCTTTACTCTGCTCCAGGTATTGCAGAACAAGATCTAATGGCAGCCTTTAGCTGTGATTTGGCTTTGATAGGATCCACGGGATGGTCACCCCCCGGTATGCCGAGAGCTAAATGCTTCCAGCCTTACCCAAGCACGGTTCCTGCCATCGTGTGTGCAAAAACAGAAAGTGAGACTTGTTCCTTGCTGGTGTTCACAGATGCAGCCAGTAAAAGATACAAGTAGGAAAACCTATAATCTAGGGTACTGGGAAGCTGAAAGGTATATTCTTGTGTCTGAGAGGTACCAGCAGGTAAAGGTCTAGCTCATCGTGGAGTCAATTTAAAGCCTGACATCCTCCTGTGAATTCCTGTGGCAGCTCCCAAAGCTGGGTGTTAACCTCTTTTTCTGCAAATTTTTAAATGTTTTCTCAATAGGAGTGGAAAGCGAGCAGCACCGCACAGGAAAAAGGAAGGACTGGTCTTGTTTATATCTATCCCTCTACTTTCTCTGAATAACGTGTTGTCAGATGGACGTAGTAATCAAATGGGTGTAACTTCCTCTGCTCTCTCCCCATGTGCCAGTGGCTTTGAAAATAATGCCGAAAGGTTAATAGGAGCCAGACTGCCTTGAGGGAATCCCTTGTGTTGAAGCAGTGGGTCTTTAAGAAGGTTTTTTGGGGAGGAAGAGGCCCCGTGGAGGAAATTTTTCCTGGGCAAAACTGGGAGCGCTTCCTAGGCATTACCTGGAGCTGGACTGGGAAGTGCTGTTGTCTTGGAAACTCTGTGCTTTGGAGCTGCGTATGTCTGATCATCAAAATTCCTTCTTCTTTTTCTTTATGGACCCCAAAATAGAAGTCGTCGATGCAGTCAGTCTATCTTTTTTCAATGGCTCTGATTTATATTTAGCCCTGTGTTGAGAAGTTCCAGTGCAGTATTTTTGGTCACTACCTCTCCTGGTCGTGTTTGGGTTAAAGGTCTGCTATTCAGTGCATAAATCTGTTTTGGGTGTAGTCCTGTGAGTTATAGCCTTACTGAAAACACATGAGTGACCACAGATAAAAGTATATTTTTAATGAGTAGTTTCATTAATAATGGAGTAGATAATGGCCAGGGAAAGTTCATTAATGGCTAACTGATTCCACTCCCAGCTATTGTATAGTTAGTTCTGGCTGAAGGCTCTCGATAGTTTTATTGCTTAAAAAAGGGCATGGTGATAAGATGTTGTTTCAAAATAAAAAGCTTTATTACCCCATCAAAAGTTTCTTTTTTATATATTACATTTATCCTTAAGGTGCATATCCAAACACTTGGATTTATATAAGCATCCAGGCAGCTATTGCCATGTGATATTCTTTATCCTGCCGTGCTTCAGAGCGGTTGGATTCCCAAAATCCCTTTTGGCCATTAGAATTTGGGACTGTCTTCCAAAGCTGGAGGAGGTGCTGTCCCTTCCCTTGTCTCACTGCTGAGCAGCATCCCCCGTGCCAGCATCTTGCTTTCTATCACTCAGGGTCATCCGGGAGATGCCCCATGCCATCTGGAGAAGGCCTTCGAGATGCTGTCCAAGGATTCTCCTGGATTACCCACTTGAACGCCCTTTGACATGTGCTCTTAAAACTTTCTTTTGTGTGCCATCAGGAAACCAAAGCAAGGAGCGAGGCAATTAAAAATATTGATATTCCTTGGGTTTGTCATGGCTTTAACAGGCCATCACCACCAGTGCTCTCAGTTCTTTTTCACTTGACTCCAGTCCTCCGCTGCTCACTCCAGCAGTCACCAACTCGCACACCCAAACTTCTGGAGCTACAGAGAGATGCAGAATGTTGCTTGTAAAATTAATGCCAGCAGCTGACTCCCCTTTTCCAAGTATACAGTGAAGAAGAACTACCATGCAACTTATTTTTGCTGCATGCTTTGGTCACAGAGAACCAGGTTCTATTTCTATAAGACCCAGAAACCCAAGTTAAAGAGAAAAATGGGAGTAGCTTTTTAAGTGTAGGTCTGCAACTTAAACCGCCCTCTCTCCAACCCTCTCACCAATGGGTGGGTGCTGGACCACAGCTCCCTAAATCCATGTTTTAAGGATTGTGGAGGTAGGGGAAGTGTGAATGATGGGCATTGATTTTGTGGCTTGGAACCCTTCAGAGCTCAGAGGAGAAAGTTTCTCTCTGTTTTCCATCCGCAGGAGACGTTGTGGACATCTACCAGCGGGAGTTTCTCGCCCTCCGGGACCGACTGCACGCAGCCGAGCAGGAGAGCCTGAAGCGCTCGAAGGAGCTCAACTTGGTCCTGGAGGAGATCAAGAGAGCGATCTCGGAGAAACAGGCCCTGCGGGATATAAACCGGACCTGGAGCAGCTTATCTGGTGAATAAACAGAGAAGTTGAGGATCTCGGGCTGTTTTGAAGCAGTTACTAAGGAGGAGGTAGAGAGGTGTGCGTGAGTGTGCGTGTGTGCAGGGCTGCGGACAGGACGTGCTCTTCTCTCCCCTGGCGCGAGCAAATTGTGGAGTTCAGAGGAACTTGGGAACCTTTAAACTCCTGTTTAATCGGAGGTGCATATGCATCATTAAACATTGAGATTTGCCTCTGCCGAGGATATTTGCCAATTTGCTTGCTTACAAGTTTGGGTTTTTTTTTTCTTGCGAGTCATATATGCTGTTTCCTGTGGCTGTATTGAATCCATATGGAAAATGGGTATCCAAAGAGAGGGGAGAGGAAGGAGTTACACTGGCTGAGCACCCCTTGCCAATTTATTTGGGGTTTTTTGTTTTTTTTTTTAAGTTGCTCCGTTGAAGAAAATTGGATCTCTACAGAAAGATCCGATTTGACCTTCATTTGATCTTCATTCTCCCTGCTCCTTCCCAAATATTTGGGGACTTCTTAAAGGCCCTCATGGCTCCTGCTGAACTTTAATTGGGTTTGTGGTAGCATGTTAAAGGTTGGCCTGATTTTTTATAACCCAGCAGTAGTCTCGGGTGGCCAGGCTGCTCTAAAAAGGCTTTTTGCCTTGCAGTCTCTTCCTACCTACCGTGCCTTGCAATTTATTCCCTTTTCCTTTTTAAGACGAAACCAAGTTAAAACTGTGGAATATCACCAACAAGAATGTGCTGCACCTTCCCACCATCTTCCATCATTTGCCACATTTGCTGTCAAAGGAGAACAGTCTGCAGCCAGCCGTGCATGTGGGACAGGGGCGCACTGGAGGTAAATGGGAATTAGTGCTGCTTCTGGTGCTCTTCCTCACCTTGGTGCCTGTCCCTCCCCTTTCCTCCGGGCCTGGCTGTGGTATGGATATGAGCAGGACTGGAGGAACGGCTGCATGCATCATGCAAGCTTCCTTGGTATCGTGACACGCGGGGTGGGTAAGCCGTGTCACATCTGCGAGTCTACCGGGGAGTGCTGTCTGTGCTCTTGACTGGCACTAAAATGTTCTCGATGCTTCTGCCAGATGTTTTTTGCTGCTTTTTCCGTCTCCAGAGTGCTCTAGACTTTGCCTGGAAGGAGGTCAGATGAAAGCATAGTTTGCAGGGCGCTTCATGGAGACTCTAACCCATCTTAGGAGACAAATCCCATCTGGTATAGGACTTTGGTTGCTAGACGATTCCTCCCTGCTCCCAAATCCCAACACAAAGCCAAAGAGCTGACGTGCCCCTCCTAAATTGAGGTGTTTCTGGCTGTGGGAGGTGTTTGGAGAACAAGAGTGGTCTTGGAGTTGCCGTTCACAGGCTGAAAAGGCCCTTAGGAGGGGGAGGGTTTTGTGGTGTTGCCTGAGACATCAGTCTTTCAGGGAGAAAAGAAAGAGTCTCTCTGACTGCCACGGGTGCCCTGCCAGCCTGGCGCACTGGGGTGCCGCTGGTTGGTACTGGGCTGGGGGACAGGAGTACGGGAACCCTACGTAGCCCAGGAACCCGCCAACCTGCTGATCACTGCTGGTTTTTAATGACGGAGCGTGGCACCGAGCAGGTGAACCACGAGGCGGTCATGGGAGCGGAGCAAAGTGTCTTGTCCCAGCACACCCCCCTCTCTAAAATCTCTCCGTGGCCCTGGGCAGTGTCCGTCGTGATGGGAATCCCCAGCGTGAAGCGGGAGGTCCATTCCTACCTCACCGACACCCTCAACTCCCTCATCTCAGAGCTCACTCAGCAGGAGAAGGAGGACTCCGTCATCGTCGTCCTCATCGCTGAGGTAAGACGGAGCTTTGCCTGTTTACCCCGTTTCCCTGGCCCCTGTCCCATCCCGCTGTCTGCCGAACTTGGTGCCAAACAGGATGGCTGCCCACCTGGAGGTCCGCTCTGCCGCTTGCCGGGGCAGATAACCCCAGCCTTGGGCTGCCGTCCGACCGGGATCATTATAGAATAATTTAGGTTGGGAAAAACCTTTAAGATCATCGAGTCCAACCATAAACCTAACACTGCCAAGGCCACCGCTAAACCATGTCCCTAAGTCTTTTTAAATACCTCCAGGGATGGTGGCTCAAGCACTTCCCTGGGCAGCCTGTTCCAATGCTTGAAAACCCTTTCAGTGGAGAAATTTTTCCTAATATCCAATCTAAACCTCCCCTGGCACAACTTGAGACCGTTTCTTCTCATCCTATCACTCATTACTTGGGAAAAGAGACCAACACCCGCCTCATTAGATGCGTCCTGCCCAAAATCAAACACCAGTTGGGCCAGAGAGGGTCAGGATGCGAGCGGGCAAACACGTTGTGTTAGCAGCTGGCAGTGTGGCACGTGCGTTTATCTTTCTGATCTAAATCGTGATGGCTCTTGCAGGGTGCTTGAGTGGTTTTTCCCAAAGTGTGCTGGAGCAGCCCCATGGCCATGTCCAGGGGAGCTCTCGGACCTGCTCCTGAAGCAGCTTCGTTTCTCCGTGTATCTGTAAGACAGCACTAAACCCCTCTCGACACCCAAGAGCCTGCTGATTTGGGGCTGAGACTAATATGCCTCTTCATACTGGTGTCTGGAGCCCGGAATCAGTTGCTGAATCCAAGGGCTAAAAAGCCTTGATACATTAATCCGCAAGAGCTGCTTTTATCTATGGGTTTAGATGGTTATTTTTCTCCATGGCTTTCCCCTCAGGATTATTTTCTTGAGCTTGAAGTGCATTTGTCTTAATTTCCAGAAATCCGGTGAGAAAGATAAACCTCAGTAGCATGTTACTGGGAGCAGAACAAAGATAAATGTCTGGGTTTGCTGCCTGTTTACCCATAATTTGACATTTTGAGTAGCATTTGGCTGTCGGGTCTCTGGCTGCTATTTTGTACAAGGGGAAGGTGTGCTCAGATGGGTGTAGCCCAAAGTGCCTGGGAATGAGGTTTGGTCTTGGCTGTCATTTTGCTTTGAGCCAGGACAGGTTTGATGGCTGTTTTCACAGCAGGTGAGTTAAAGCATGAGAGGTTTTAAGCAACTTGACCAAAAATATCTCCTGGTTTGGACTGCAGTAATATTTTCTTCAGTTGACTTGAAAATAGGGTGCATGCTGTGATGGCAGCTCCTGACTTTCCGCGTGTACCTGTGATGAGGGAAGTGAACAACGAATATATTAATTCTGATACCGTGAAGTGCAGGAGCACACGCGCCATAGCCCAGTAACAGCGATGGTAGTTGTTGCAGATCACCACCGCTGTCACTGTCCTCTCTTGCCAAGCTTGCTCTTGTAGCTACACAACGTCCTCCTTCCCTGCAAGCGTCAGCCACCGCTGTGCCCGCTCTGCCTCTTCCCAAAGCATTTCTTGATGTACCTGCACTCGGTGTCGCTTGTTAGGGCTCCTCAGGCACGGGATAAATAGCAGAGGGGGTGGTATGAACCCGGAGCAGACGCTGGGTAACTTGGAGGCTCAGGACGATGAGTGGAGCAACTGAATGTCCTTTTCGGGATGGAGACTTCTCATTTCCAAATGCCACCGCTAACCGCTGCGGGTGTCACCCACGGCGGCTGGGCTGGCCGGGAGAGCTGCACGTTTGCTCCCAAAGCCAGGAGCATCTTTCTTGCCCTCGTTTTGCCCGTTGCTGTTTTCTTGGCAGCGCTGAGGTAAGAAATCAGTCCAGCACCAGGAGCCTGAGCCCTGTTTGGGAAAGGGACCTTTTTGCTTTTGAGAAAACCCTCCCTTGTCACCGTTCCAGCGTGGAAGTGCTGTCCTCAGCTCGTGACACACATTCCTGGCGTCTCAGTTCTCACCTCTGCCCAGCACCGAGCGCAGTGGCAGCCGGTCCCGGCTTCTGCAATGCTGTGTCTGCAGATCCACCCGGGACACGCAGTCCCATGATCCGTACGACCGCCCAAAACAATGCCACCACCAGGAAACAGGCACGGTTTTTGCTCCTGGGTCTCCTGCCCTTTGTTCTTGGATTTTGTTTTCCCGGTCACTGTGCAGATGGTTTCTGTTTGGTGACTGTCCCTGTGTTTGCACTTATCTCGCCCACAGATAGCGGCATGCGGCGCTGCTGACCTTTGCCTCCCAACTGTTACGGGTTGCCAGGTTGATTGTGGGAACAAACTGGTTTTTTTAGAAAGAAAAGCATCGAAATAAACCTGAAATGAAAAATGCATGCTTATAAATAGACCCCTCTTTTTCACAAAAGGGATGGAGATCCTTTTCTGCCAAGAGTATTCGCTTGGATGAAAGCCAGCATGTATGGAGAAAAAAACAAATATCCCAGAAGTTAACACTTTGTGCAAATGCTTGGCACTGGCAGGGGCAGAAGTGCCAGGAAAGCATGTGGGGAAGATGGACAGTGTCTTGAGTCCTTTGGGGTGGATTTTGGTGTGTGATGCCTTTGGTTAACACTGACCACAAAGGAGGGTTCCTAGGAGTCCATTAGCATGAGGAGAGCAGTTAAACTGAAAGAAAGGAGACATGAAGATGGTACAGAGGTGCTGACAGTACCCCCGGGGTGTGTTCAAGGTGATTTCTGAGCCACAGGGGGCACAGGCTGAAGCTGAAGGATCTAACGCTGCTTATCTTTTGTTTTCAGACAGATCCGCAGTACACAGCTGGAGTGGCAGAAAATATCAAAAACTTGTAAGCACTTCCAAATGACTACGGCGGTACGGTCTGTGCCTGTAGCGAGGCCAGGGAACAGCTTCATTAGGAGAAAATACACACTTTTCTGCTTCCCTTTTTTTGTTTGTTTTTTTGTTGTTTGGGTTCTTTTCTATTCTTAAACTCTGGGCTGTCTTTGCTATTGCCGCTTCCACTTTCTGCTTGTTCTAAAATCCATCCCGTATGTAGCTTCCAGTAGGCTGCTTTGTGCTCGCAGTATTTACCACACACGGTCATGCTGGTTCATTTTGCTCTTTCTGTCCTGTGGCATTGTGAGAAGATGGATTATTTAGGTTTCCAGTGATCCTGGCAATTTTTTCCTGTGTCTAGTGCAGCCCTCTACCTGCTCTGCGGAGTCAGAGCAACTGGGCAGTGCGGTAAGCACGCCCAAATGCTCCTGCCTTATTTTGCTTTAAAATCCATGATCCATTTTTCTTCCCGCTCCAGCCTGTTTGTTTTTCCCTTGTGCCAGGCGCTAGTTACATTTGTCTCTTATGCTAGCTGCTATTTATGTCCTGGAGTCTTAGTGGCTTTTGCAGCTTCATCTGTGGCAGTTTAAGCAGAAGCCAGTGACGGATTATTAACCGTGAGCCGGTCCAGGCGTTAACAGCATCCGAGCTCGGAGGCAAAAGAAAAAGGTGGTGAGAGAAGAGGCTGTGACTCCCGTCCAGCTCCTGCGATTGCGTGTTTCCAAAGGCTCGCAGTCGCCATAAGAAGGGGAGGCAAAAGGGCAGCACATCCTCCCGGCGCCCCACGTCCCGAGCCAATGGTGGGAGAGGGGCCGGGATGCGCGTGGGGAGGGTTGTGTTCCCGGGCACTTGCAGAAGAGCTGAAACACAGCCCTCCATCTTGCTGTGCAGGAGCTGGCAGAGCTTTCCTCCTCCTGCCTGCTGGCAGGAGGACGCACTTATCGGGGGATAATGGGCCGATTGTCCGATGGATCCTGATGAAATTACTGGGCGCTGCTGCAGAGAGTGCTTCTGCATAGAAGGCCTGAAACTTTAATTGACTTAATGATTTGATTTCTTGCTGTCCCCCCTCGCCAGTGCCTCCTGCCCTTCCCTGATTCACTGAAATTATTTGTCTTCCAAATTGAATTGAGGTGGTGTGGGGCCAGGGCAGGCTGAGCTCATATCGCAGGAGGGAGAAAGCCGTTGCTGCTTTGGTACAGGTTTTATCAGCCCAGTGAGAAGCTTCTGTTTCACTGCTGCCTGAGGAAGGGAAGATTGGAAAATGTTAGCTGAAAATCTTGCCAGTCCCAAGGAGGGAATAAGGAAGGGAAAAATAAGTGAGAAGTTTTTGGCAGTCTCGCTGCTTTGTCTCCCTCTGCCCCATCTCCTGTCCTCCAGGCTCTACAAAAACAAAGGAAGTCAGCCTTGCACCAAATGTTCTCAAAAAGGCAGTATAAAAATAACTGGTTTTCCCGCTTATCTCTCACAGTTACAGTAACCTCTGGGTATTGCTTGCAAGGCTGTTGTAGGTACCTGTTTTTCAGATGGGTGACATTTTTTTTGAGTTTGACTCTTTAAAGGATTCTTAACAGCATCATAGGGAAAATAGATGCTGATTTTATCAGCATAAGGGAACGAGGTGGAATTCCTGCTGGCTGTCCTAACTACCACACAGCAGTGTTTTAAGTAACTTATCGGAAATGCATAACATAATCTCTGCAAAATGGCTTTTAATTACTGATGCATTTGGAAAATCTCTAAATGCTGGTAATACCAGCAAGTCCTTTCTTTGGTGCACCAGTCTGCAGGTCCGTTTAATCCTGTAGAGAGTACGTGGTGCTCGCGGCTGGTCCTTAAAGCTGACCCGTATGTGCATGCAGGAGGGAGGAGGGATGCTGGGCGGGGGGGAGCACACGAATGTGGGGCTATTAGAGACCATGGGAGGGAGAGAGCAGCTTTAAAACTCCGTGGCAGTCCCTGCTGATGTCCTTCGGTGAGGCCTAGAAGTGTACTAGCTACTGGGGAAGTTTTATCTTAGAGGCCGTATTTTTTGTTTGGTTCTGCGGCTCCGTGTTTACCTAGTGATTTGGTCTACGAAATGATGTGTCAGACACGGAGGTATTTGTTTACTGCTGCTTTTCTCCCTCAGATTCCCAAAGGAAATACACTCAGGTCTCCTGGAGGTAATTTCCCCGTCTCCGCATTTCTATCCTGATTTCTCCCACCTGCGGGAATCCTTTGGGGACCCCAAGGAGAGAGTCAGGTAAGAATCAATGAACTTAAAAGCAACCAAGCTCTGAATTAAGTAGCTGCAGCACTTTCCCACTGACTCCAGCAGGGAAAACTCTTCTGCAGGGCCAGGTGAGGCCCTTAAACTTGCTTTATCCAAAAGCTGGAAAGACTTGGGGGACGGGGGGTATGAACTGGTGCCAGCTTTGCAGGGCTTGCCTCGTACTGCAGTGTTTCTGTCACCGAGCGAGGGGGTCATTTTAACCCTGGTTACGTTCATTTTGGAAGTCCCTGAGTTTTCCAGTAACTCTTAGCTGACCAGTTGGAGACCAAAAGGGAGAGGTCATGTGCCATCCCCTCCTCCAAAAACTGTGTCACCTTCCCGGCTTAAACCCAGCCTCGGCTGGCTCCCCCGTGCAGCCCGGTATCCCAGGAGAGATCGGCGCTCCCATCGTGTTTGTCTTTTGCAGGTGGAGGACAAAGCAGAACCTTGACTACTGCTTTTTAATGATGTATGCCCAGTCCAAAGGCATATATTACGTGCAGGTGGGTTCGGTGCTGGGGGCGGAGGGGAGATGGGTGTACCTGTGAGTTCACTGTGGCTCATACCCAGCTGAGAGTGGGCAAAAAGCACGTCCAGTTGTGTGATGCAGCAGAGTGGGAGCAAGTTTTAACCAGATAGGTTCAAAAGCTAGGTTTCTAAGATGCTTTAGACTTGGAGACCTCCTGCCTAGGGAGGGCAGGAATCCTTGTTTCGTTTACCTGTTAGATTGGGTGAGAAAAATCTGCTTGGAGCATATTCCGAAATAAATTAGGTCTGTGCCAAAGCCTTCCTCCGGTCTACGGCGTGATTGCTCTGCACGGAGAGGCTCTTAGTGGAACCTGGATGGATCATTGGCACTGAGTGTCCTTTCCTCTTGCAGCTGGAGGATGATATTGTGGCCAAACCAAACTATCTCAGCACGATGAAGAACTTTGCCTTGCAGCAGCCCTCCGAGGAGTGGATGATCCTGGAGTTTTCTCAGCTGGGGTTTATTGGTAATGTTCTCCCCCACTTACCCCAGTCCCGTCAGGCATGGGCACAAGTGCCCGCTGGTTCTTGCAAACACTTATGCTCGTGGTCCAATGAGTTGTCCCCATAAGATGGTAAAATACTCAGACTTGATCCCTCCCTGTTTTTGCAATGACCCCTGCGTTTGCACAGGGGAGAAAGTTCCTCACAGCTGGTACTGCTGATACTCACTTTTAATAAAAATAAACCTGGTCGGTGGCCCAGCCGACAGCCAAACAGCTTAGATGTGACCAGTAGCTTTTAGGCTGGATGGGATCTGGCGTTGCCTAAGAGTGTGAAAAAGGAAGTTTACATCAGCACAGAACTATTTTGGGAACAGCAGTACATGGTTGCAGTAGCAGCTTGATCTGTTGTTTTGGATGCTGGTTTGACTGGCTTAAAACTTGTAGTTTTGGGGGCAGGAAATGGTCTGTCCTGCAGCTGGCTGAATGTTTTTCATCCTTATTTCTCCCTGCTGAATGGAAGAGTTTTAGACCTTTTGATACTGTTGTGACCTGTGAGACGCTAATGCTTTCTAGTTCTGCAATGAATATTAAATCCGGAACTGTATTAGCAATGCCGGCAGTACTGGTACATAAAACAGAGCTGCACGCTATTTCCTTTACGTAGAGAGATGCACACATCCAACCTCCACAGCCCAGTCTCCCAAGTTTTTTTTCTTCCCAGCTCTGATTCTTGACCATTTCATACCGTAGCTGCTCTCTCTTCTCTCTTTCTTTGTGCTGTAGGAAAAATGTTCAAGTCTCTGGATCTGAGCTTGATCGTGGAGTTCATCCTGATGTTCTATAAGGACAAACCCATTGACTGGCTGCTGGATCACATCCTTTGGGTGAAAGTCTGCAACCCCGAGAAAGATGCAGTACGTAAACAACTTCTGTTGAAGGGAAACCTTCTGTTTTGTGTGAGCAAATGTACGCTTGGTCTGTGTCTCCAGAGGATCTTTTCTGTGAGCTTTGGTGGTAACTGACTTTGCACCGAACCGTGCTGTCCCTGTGGAGTGTGCTGCAGGGTGTCCTTGCTGATTGTGTAAGCAAAGACCTGGGAGTTCAGGCTTTTGTAGTCTGCAGCTGCCAGAAAAGGCATTATTTCTGCATCTACGCACTAACAGGGTATTCCTCCTCCAGTCCTTGAGGAGAGTAGCTGTTCCCCATTCTTCTGTGCTGTTTTTTTATTCCAGTGTGCTTCTCTCCCTGAAGCCGTTCCCCTGCTCGCTGACTTATAACCCCAGAATAACTCTTTGGCTCTGGGCTCATGTACCGTACCCACCTGGAGCGCACACGCAGGCTGCCCAGAGAGCTCACCCCAGATGACCCAAGAGCAAGCCCGCCGTGCGTAGTGTGCCAAAATAAAGCCAGAGCCCACAAAGCTCTTGTCGGCGTTTCTAGGGAGGTGCAGAGGGGTGAAACGGGCTCTGTTTTCCTGCTGCCATCTCGTTTGCCTGCACAAAGCCTTGCAGACAGCAGCACAGAAGCCCCCGTGCCCTGCGGAGGTTGTGTTTGAACTCCCGTTGGCGGCAGCAGCAAGGGGCTAAAGCGAGTGGGAAGGGCAGAGGAGGAGTGTGTGTGACAGCAAATGTAAGATGAGCTCACCACCAGATACTCTCCTGTCTCCTCTCTGAACATACTGTATTTACTCAAATGCTCGTTCGCCCTCCTCCCGCGGCAGAGAATGAGCAGCGGAGTCCCTCTGCAGAGCTTGAAGCCAGTCGCTTAGGATGGACCTCGTGGCCACAACTACTTTGTGGAGGCAAATGCCAGAGCAAGTGGTCACTCTGGGGATGATAAATACTGATTTCTGTGTTGGGGGGGAGACAGGGCATCCTCAGGGCTCTGCAGAGTTGGGGCAAGGATGTGATTTAATTTGGCTGGATCCCTGGCAGAGGCTGTGATGTCAGGTCCAGTCCCCCGGGTGCAGCAGGACCAGTCTCAGATGATGTCCATCATGTCCTCCTGGCAGTTCAAACCATGTGCTCAGGTGTGACAGAGCAGTCCCCAGGCCTGTCCGGCAGCCCCCGGGGTCCTCACAGCCATGGGCGAAGCCGGGGTGGTGGGATTCTGGGATGGAGCTGGGAACCATGCTGCTGCCTGTGCTCCCCCCCTTCAAAATCTTCAGCTTGAGCATTGATTAAATGCAGATCCTGCTGCGCGGGATCATCTTCTTAGCTCATCTTCTTCGCTCATCTTCTCCTACCTGGCGGAGCCAAGGTTTTCCCAGGGGAAACTGCAAACCTCTTAAATGTGTTGCCTTTTTAAAAATTAACCTACTTTCTGCGTGGATTTCTGGCTCCTTTCCCCCACTGTTTGCATGATTAACTCTGCACAGCGCCCTTTCAAACATGACTTTCCCTTGTAAATCCCACTGTGCAGAATCAAATTGGTCGTGGGGAGGATTTGTCTTTTTGATTGAAAGTTTGTTTGACCTGAGCTTTTGGTAAGCGCTTTGCCTGCTCTGGATACATTCTGCTCTTTCTTTTTTAACTAATTTTAGATTTACCTGGGGTAGAGCTGTGTGAAAGGATGACCTTCTTACCACCAACTGAGCCATTCCCCCTCCTGGCTCTAGTGAGACAACGCTGCTTTCAGCAAGTGCTTCTTTAGCAGAAGGGGAAAAGGGGAGAAAGAGAAATCAGGAGATGCTGTACCTCCCTCTGTTCCCCTTTCTCCTTCTCTCCCCATCCAGAGTGAGATCAGACCTGATAGGGTTGCATCTGGGTTTGCTGGCAATGAGTAGGGTCTCTCCCATTAGCAGGGCTAGTTTTAATTTTCTAATGTAACGTGAGCTGGATTAGGGGATTATCTCCTCTGCAGCTCACAAGGGTCATGCCTGGAATTTCCCAGCTCCCGGCACGGTGGCGGTGGCCCGTGGGGGCAGCCCATCGCGGGGGCTCGGTGTGGCTGGCTTTCCCCACTGCGCCCTGCCTGGTGCCAGGCAGCCGGTGACGCAGCGCCCGGCGGTGGGATTTCTGCCGGGGTTTCTCTTGGGTGGGAGGCTGCAAGACCAGATGGTGGTAGGGGTGTGCATGCGTTTCTTTTCTTGGAAAAAGCAAAAGTCGGAAAACAAATGCCCTCTCCCTCTGGTTTTTAACCCTGTATTTTTGTTCTGCTCCTCCAAACTGAGAGAAATGAACTATTTTTAAAATGTTGAGTTCTTGTCTCCACGCTCTCAGTGGTTTTCCCCTTTGTCCTTTGTTTCCTCTCTATCATCTCTCTTCCTCCACCCCATGGAAAATCACTGGCTGCATTGGAGTTGCATCTCCAAGTTTATTTACGTGGTGGGATGGGCGTGAAACAGCCCAACAGCTTTGACAATGGCACGTGCCATACATCTGCTTAACAACACCTGCCAACAAACTAAAAACTCTGCCTGTCTGAAAAGAGCCTACACTTGCTACCTGTTCACTTAGGCTCTGAATCATCCCAGGACTGACTTACCTTCAGACATCGGTGATCCCTGAGTTGTAGGAAAAAGGCTTTCCCAATAAGCCAAGGACAAAAGAAACTAAATTCTCTGGCTGTCCCTACCTGACAGCACAGAGGAGATTTGCTCAGCTATGCTTGGCAAGGAGAAATTTGGCATTTAAACCTGGGCACTCCGGCTGCCCAGCAGAGCCCGGTGGGTGAGCGGCCGAGAGTCATGGACAGGTTCCTCCAGAGTCTGGTTAAATTAAAGCCAAATTAAGGCCAAAACAACACAGACAGGCATAAGAGATGGAGAGGCAAGGGTGTTTATCACTCCTTGTGCCCTTCTCCGTTCTTTTCGTGGGTCACAGCTGACCGCAGAGGTTTAAGTGTGGGGCTCTGCGGGATTGTCTCGTTTCAGAAACACTGCGACAGGCAGAAGGCAAACCTGAGGATCCGCTTCAAGCCCTCCCTCTTCCAGCACGTGGGAACCCACTCCTCCTTGGCTGGGAAGATACAGAAGCTGAAGGTGGGTATCAGCTGCCTGTCCAAGTCGCAGATGGCCTTTCTGCCAGGCCTGGCCTGCAGGCACCCAGGAGCTGGCTGGTTTTGGGGTGGGAACATCAGTGACAGCAACCGGTGGGACAGTGGCAGCTGGATTTCTGTGCAGTGGTTGTGTTTTGTTCTGAATTACAGTGAGCTCATGGAGCTCCTACTTCTCAGAGTGGCAGTGACGTGTACCAAGAGTCGCTGCAGGCTTTTAAGCCTTGGTACTGGCCCTGGCCGCCCTTCCTGAGTACCAAACCATGGTCTGGGTGTGATTTCAAAGCATCTACTCAAAAACCCTGGAGAGATGACTCCTGGGTTGGTCTGACTTCCTTCCCACCCCTCTCCTTGTTCCTGGGATGTGCTGATTGATAGGCGAACTAGACCTTGCTGTGAAAGAGCTTAAATTGTGTGTGTGTGATGGTTAAACATCAGCAAAATCGAGCTTCCCACAGCTGTATGTGCAAGATCCATGGACACGCATCCCTGGGCTGTGCTCAGTCCTGTGTCCGTCTGATCCCCAGGTAAATGGACGTTGTAATCCAGTTTGCATTGCAGTGCAGTGTTCGTCAGGCCATGTAATCCAGTTGTTCTATGCTATCATCAGCCTCCCAGCCACCTTCTCCTCAGGTGTAAGGACTGTTTGCAGAGCTCCTGGGGCAGGGACACGTGTTTGGGGCCACTTGGACAATGAAGGGCTCTTTGGTGCTGGATCAGAGTGCAGAGCAGTGGTGCTGCTCTGCGCTGCCTCTCCTGGAGCTGCGTCCTCCTGGGATCCAGCCGTGCATTGCCCTGTCTGGTGCCTTCCCCAGCTCACCTCCATCCCTCATCCTACACTGTGCAAACTGAGAGCTTTTAATTTGCGGTGCCTTGTTGCTGGGACCCCTGTTCCTCACAGGCGAAAGCAGCTCATGACCCTTTTCTGCCCTTTTGCTTTGCGCTTACCAAGGACAAGGACTTTGGCAAGCAGGCCCTGCGGAAAGAGCACGTCAACCCTCCTGCGGAGGTGAGCACCAGCCTGAAAACCTACCAGCACTTCACCTTGGAGAAGGCTTACCTGCGGGAGGACTTTTTCTGGGCCTTCACTCCCACCGCCGGAGACTTCATCCGATTCAGATTCTTCAAACCACTCCGCATCGAAAGGCCAGTGCTTGAGGGGATCAGCAGGGCAGGGGACGTGGGGACAGCCTGGAGCATGTGGAGACACCTCCCTTTTGCTCTTCTGGCTCATGTTGAATTTCTTGGCTGTCTTCTGCTTGGCTGCCCAGGAGGAGGGAGCAGTGCTCTTCCAGGAGGAGGACAACCTGACCTTTTTTTGGTGGGGCCATGTTTGCTGGAGCCCTTTGCTTTCCTATGCTTGTGAGCAAGCCATGATGTTGCTACTCTGGTGCAGTCTCCTTACAAACCATGTGCATGTGGGCTTTTTGAGAAGGTGCCTGTTAGGTTGAGCGGTTTGATGGTTCAACTGGGGTGAAAGCCATCATGTTGCCCCATGCTCAGCGTGGGTTACCATGACTTTGGTCTCTGTCACAGGTTCTTCTTCCGCAGCGGGAACATTGAGCACCCAGAAGACAAACTCTTCAATACAACTGTGGAGGTTTTGCCGTTTGACGTAAGTGTTTTATTGAGAATTGAGATGGGGGTGGAGTGGGAAGCAAAAGAGGTTTGAGAGAAGGGAACTGCTTAAAGCCATCAGGAAAAGCTTTACAAGACTCGAGTGCCTTTGAGAGGTGCTGACTGGGAGCCAGGGGGGTCACACCTGGTGTGGTACCACCTCCGGAGCGGAGATCCCGCGCTGAGCAGTCACGATGGGAGCCGTCCCTGCCTGCAGAGGGGATGCTCAGATGGGTGGGATGGCTGCAGAGGAGGGGATGGAGCCAGGGTGGTGCAGGGGAAGCAGCAGCGTGAGGGCAGCAAGCGTCCTCTTGTTTTGGGGCATGAGGCTCAGGGTGCCAGGCGGGGGGATGAGGTGCCAAGGGCTGCTGGCGAGAGCAGCTCTGGGGTTGCTGCTGTTGCTTGGGGCTTTCGGGTGGCTCTTGCTACTGGCCTTGCACAAAGCTCCTTCCCTTCTCACAGAGCCTGCAGTCGGATAAGGAAGCCTTACAGGAGGGAAGAGGTGCAGTCGTCAAATACCGCAGGATGCCAGATGGCTACATCCAGATAGGTACAGCAGGGTGCGGCGTGGTAAACTGCCCGCTGGGTTTGATAACGCAGCCCATATCCTCACCTTCAAGTGAATCGAGACCCTTAGTGCTGTTTGCTTGGCAAAGAGTAATTCCTGCTTGCCAGGAGCCAGGTTGGAACAGGATTTAGTTGTCACTGTCTCCTCTCCTCCACTGCCCTCCCTCCCCTCTTCGACTAGGCGTCCTCTTCAGGTAGTTTTCAGTTCTACTTCTCTGCTCAGAGCTGGGAGCAAATTATTCAGATTACCCGTTTGCCTAACCTGATGTTAAAAACCTCCACCACGCGCGATTTCGCACTCTCCCTCCACAGCCTGTCTTGGTATTCACACCACTTGCAGCTTGGACTTTGTGTCCTGCCACCTGAGCTTGTTTTAGTTCTTGTCCTGCCCTTGGACAAGAATGAGTGATTGCAGCCTATGGGGACCTGCTGGTGCGTGGTAAAGGCCTGGTGTCCCTGCCAAGACTTTTTTTTTTTTTTTTTTAAATAGACAAATAAAAGAAAAATTCCCTGGCACGCATAGCTTTTTGCCATTTTAGCATTCCTCTGCATGCTGTCTGGTTTCTCCCAGTTGCATTTTCAAAAAAAAAAAAAAAAAAAAATCACACCCAAAAATGGGACATAGCAACAGGCTGAGACCTTGCTAGAACTATTGATATAAGACTTGCCTCCATGCCGTGATCCTGAACTGACGTGTCTTTTACAGGATGGTGCTGCCATCAGGCCACTCTGCCCGCCCCCCCCCGCCTTTTGCACAGCAGTGATGCGTAGCCAAATACTCCCCATTTTGTTTTGTTTAGCTGATTTTTTTTTTTTTTGTTCCCCTAAGTGTAGCATTTTGCACTGAATTGATGTCCACGCCGCTGATTTTTCAGCTCATCTTGTGTCGGGGAGCTGCGGGCAGGGGGCTGCTCGTGATCCCCTTGGGGTATGGGGGGGGGCTGGATGCCAGGGGACCGTTCCCATCTCACCCCTGTGCTTCCCCCCCCAGGCTCCTTCTCCAAGGGTGTTGCAGAGGGCGAGGTGGACCCATCCTTCGGGCCGCTGGAAGCCATCAGGCTGTCCATCCAGACCGACTCCCCGGTGTGGATCATCTTGAGCGAGGTGAGCTGGGCTTCGTCACCTCCCCACCACCTTCCCCCCCCCCCGCTCCTCTCTGATCCCAGCCTTCGCTTCTTTCAGATTTTTATCAAAAAAGCGGAGTGAAACGGGCGCGAGGAAGGGTGGACGGACACACGTGGATCCCCGGTCCTGCTCCCTCCCCTCCCGCTCCCTCCTCCCCGCGGCGCCTCGCCGGTGCTGCGGGGCCAGGACGTCGTCGTCTTCTCCAGAAGAAGAACAACAAGGAAAAACCAATATCCCGCGCAGAGGGCTGGCTTTGCTGCCCTCGGCAAAGCCCGGGAGCTCCCTCGGTCCCCCGTGGGCGCAGGCTGCCGCGCGTGCCGCTCAGGCCACGCTGACACAGGGGACGGTTTGGGGTCAGGATGAGCTATAGCGAGCGTGGGGACGAAAAGCACCTTCAGCCCAGCACAGGGCAATCTCTGGTTGTATTTGGGGACAGAGCGGGGGCTCAGTCACGTTGAGTCCTGCCGGCTGACCCCGTGGGCACGCCGGGATGGAGACGGCCAGGGACCGAGGTCTGCCTTGCCTTCGCCCAGGCAACAGTCCTGGCCACAGCTGAGGATTAAGCGAGGGTGAAGACTGACCCTCCTTCAGCAGAGGAGGAACGAATCCAAAGGGGTTGGAGCTATGACTATGGCAGGGAAAACAAACAAAAAAAAAAAACAAAATACGCCACACTGTGCCTGCCAGCATTGAACACAGCCCCTTAACTCACAGTGAAGTCTCCAGTGTCTTCATGCCTTGAGATTGAGTGCAGAAACCATCTTTTTAAATAACTATTTCAGTTATTGATTGGTGTGAATTTTTTGGGAGAAAAAAAAGCAGAAGTAGCCCAGTTCAAAAATAGTAGGGATTAGTGTAAATCCCAATGTCTCTTCAGCTATACACTGGAATGCATTATACTACTTTAATGTGCTGTATTTTTTATTATTGGATACATTTGATTTTTCAAGTACATCTCTCTATATAAATATATAAAATAATGTGCACTGTAATAAAAGCTAAATTTAAAACTTTGGTGTGGCAGTGAGAGTCACTACAGCAGGGAGGCACTTGCTCTGGCTCTACCCCTGTTCCCCTCCCCAGGACGGGTGGGCATCCCTGGGGGCCGGGCACCAGCTGTAGCCCCTACACCCAAAATGGAGTTATTCATCAGTGCTCACCAATACCAGATACTCCCGAAGCGTTGCTCATGCTGGGGAAAGCACTTAGAGCAGCCCAGTGGGAGACTGGTTATTTTTTGCCCCAGCGCCACAGGAACCTGCACCAGTTATTAAAAAAAGAAATGTTGGTCCCGTCTTTCCTTGGCAGGGAGCAAGGAAGGTGCTTGGGCACCCATACGCCTGAGGGTGCAATCGTGGAACAGTTGTCTTTCTTACAAAATACATTGCTTTTCTTTATACTCATGCATGGCTTAGCAAGGAGCTGCCTGCTTTAGTTACCTGCAAACCCCAAGTCTGCAGTGGAGGTTGAAATTCAGAGAGAGGGCAAAGTCCTACTGGTGGGTCAGTGATAAGCAAAGTCAGTGCTGAGTCAAGGTCATTCAAGTCAATGCCAAACACAGCCATTAGCATTTGGACTAGAATCAAGCGTTTTTTCCCCAAATCTGGATACAGTTTTAGACAAGTTTACCCACTCTTTCAAGTCAGTTCTGATCACAGCAGCTTTTCCCATGCAACCCAATCCCCTAAACCTCAGATGTCTCACACCCAGTCGCCAAGCACCTTTGACAATCGCAGGTGATTTCTACTGAGAAAAGGAATTTATTTTTTGCATATCATGTTGTGATCCTTCAACATATATCATTACAGCAGTAAGGAGGAGTGATGACAGCGTTTGGGTCAATCCATGCTCTGTGAAGCAAAGCCAAAGGCATTAGAGGTTTTAGAGCAGGGAGTGCTACAAAGCCTGGCAGTGAAGCCCATCAGCAGGGGCAGAGGCTGAGCAGTGTTTGCTTCCTAGAAGGAAAATTATCTCTGAAGAGGAGTGCCAGCATCCACCTTGCTTCAAAGGTAAGCACAGAGCTGGGGAGAGATACTCAGTCTCTGACCGCGCCGCGCGACTCCTTCCCCTCTGCCGAGAGCCAACGGTGGGTTTTGGGAGAGCCGTGGCCCCTCTCACCAGGCGCCGAGCAGCTGGAGGGGCCGCGCCAGCGCTGCCATCCATGCAGAGGAGGGGGACAGCAAGAAATGGGCCAGGAGCCCGGCCACCGCTAGCCCCAGCAGCGCCCAGAGTAGCCAGGTGCTGGCGTACAGCGGCCCCAACCTGCATGGGGAGAAAACGCCATCAGACACCACCAGCCGACCCGGGGCACAAAGCGCGCGGGCAGGGGCTCGGTGTGTGTCCCCCCTCCTTCGAGACGGAGCCAGGGAAGAGGTGGCATGGCCACGAGGACGTGGGAGGAGAAGGAGGTGATGCAAATCTGCCTTCAGTTCCACCCGTGGGAAGGAAACCTACCCCAGGGACCGCATCCTGCCCCCAGCCTCCCTGGACTGGTTTGGGGTACCCAAAACCCCCCCGGCCAAGTACTAACCGTCCCTGCGCAGCCACGGTGTATCCCTGGAAGTACTTGAAGCGGGTGTAGAGGTAGAGCAGCCCACACGCAGCAGCCGCACCTGCGGGGGAGAGAGGAGCCGAGTCCTGACGGGGCCGGGGGTCCTGGGACGCTGCAGCCCAGCGCGGTCACCCATGTCCCTGGCTTCCCCCTGCAGATGGGGCAGGGCCACAAGAACCAAACGCAGCAGGACTCTGCTTTAAAACACTGTGGGAGCTTAAATGGGTTTTCCTCCTTCTCTTTTTTGTGAGGGATGAACTTTTCTGCCCCGCAAAGTTGCCCTGGGACTTGGGTTTGCAACGCTCCCTTCCGTGGTCCTTCCTCGCATCTTCCCCACGGCGGCAGCCAAATCCCCTAAACCTGCTTGGTACGGGACGGACGGCGGATGACTAATTGTTTGGGTTACGGTTTCTCCTTCTGCCGTAGGGATTTGGGTATCGTGTTGCAGCTCTGACCTTATCCTTAGATAAGAGAAGCAGCCCGGGGGGGACAGCCGGGCTCCAGCGACGGAGCGAGGGCTGCCAACGCCACCAAACCTCCTCTGGGCAGGAGAGGAGTTTGGAGTTCGGCCAGAGAGACCAAGGGCTGCCCCAAGGGGAACTTCGCTTTCCCCAAGTAACAGCCTTACAGGTACAGAGAGGAGGTGCCTGAGTCGCCATGGGATTTAAATTGGGGTTGTTTTTTTTGGTCTGTGCATGTGGTTTGGGTTGGGGTTCCCCCCCATTCTGCTTACCTTGATGGAAGAAGATTCCAGCAACCCAGAGGAGCGAGATGAAGATCGGGAAGTACTCTGAGCAATTCACCCTGGTGAGAACCAGAGACGAGAGTTAAAACTGCATCCTCGTACGTCAGAGACCGGTTAACCGAGGCCAGAGAAGTGAGCTGGAAACGCACGTCGGAGCAAACTGAAAGGGCTGATAAGAGGCATTGCTGTCCTGTGGACAAAGGGCCTTTTCTGCGACCAAGGACACCCAATATCTGTATTTTAGAGAAGAAAAGCACCCAAACAATGCACCGCGTTCACCTCACCCGCATTCACGTGAACCCTGCAATGACAAGCCGTGGCCGAGATGGAGATTTGTCTTTGCTGAACCCTCAGCAGGCTCCATCTCAGCCCCACGCACAGCACCTTCACAGGCATCTAGTACAGCTTAAAAGCTGCACAGGTAGAGGTTCCTTCCCTATCATTATTTAAAGAGCTTTCTCCTCCCCTTGGGTGAGCACAGCCCAGATTTGGGTGTCACACAAGTCATGCTCCAAGAGCGAGCCTTCTCCCAGATCAAATCGAGCAGAAGGCGATCAGATCTGCAGCCAGGTTTTCTTCCTTCCTTTCTCTTTCAGTGACAAAAATACAGATTTTCTGCAAGAAAGGACGGGAGCTGTGCTATTACAGACAATGGTTTTGTTTCTTGATTTCTCCTACATTTTACCATTCCCCAGGCAATTTAATCTTACATTTGGCCAAAAATTTGCCAAGCCTTGAGGAATGGAGCCAGATTAGGAGCTGGAAAAACTCTGAAGAACCTTACGCTGTAAATGCAGTTTGAGCCTTAGCGAGGGGAGGCTGCCAGATTTCCACGAGTGAGTAATAAAGCAGTACCTTTTTTCCCCTCTTTTTTGTTTTTTAATATATCAAAACAAATTATCCATTTGTATCCTTTCCCACAGGGAAAAGAATAAAGGACAGGAAAAAAAAAAACCACAAGGAAGAAATACCATCTCAAACCTGAGTTCGCTGAGGTCGCCTTCTCCGCGGAATATAGCGGAGGGCTTCCCGGCACGCCGCAGCCCACAGCACAACTCGGTTAACACACAGCCCGGTATTTAATTAAAAGCCACAGCAGCAGCTACCCAGCTAGCAAAGGCCGATGCCTTCCATGCAGGCTGGCCTTTCACTGCATCGCAAAAGGACCAAAGCGGGTGTTTTTGTCACTCCACAAACGTTTCCCGTACGCTGGCAAGGAAACGTAGCTGCTTTGTTCAGGATCTAGTGCCGTGCTTGAGCTACCCTTCAAACCAGCTCCGGCCAATTCCTTTCAATCACTTAGGAAACAGAACGACTGAGATGAAAGATGGAATCTGGTGCTTGCTGGAAGCCGAAGGGATCTGAGAACATTTCCAGTTTAGCTCCAGAATTGCTCTCTCCATAGGAACAGAGCAAAAAGAAACAGCCCTCGGCATGGGCCCGCGAGTGCTGACTTTCACAGTACAATGGCTTAAAAAAAGGAAAAAAATTAAAACGTCCTTGTAGCTGGTTCTGCCAGCAAGGCCCTTTGTTCAACAGCAAAAACTTACAAGCAAATATTAGGTTATTAATATAGCTTCAGCTACTCTCACAATTTGGAGCCAACATTAATATTAAACTTAATGATTATAACACAATAATGCTCAGCACCTCTTCCATATAGCCACTAATTCGTAATTTGGCTGCCTCTCACAATGCCAGGAGGATTATCATGGATGGACAGAAACACTCCAGCCAGAGCAAAGTGCTCCAAATCAAAACTCAAACTTCTGCGCACAAAGCATTAAAAAAAAAAAAAAAAAATAAAAAAATCTAGTATCTGTAGCAATAAGCAAAAAGGTGACTTGAGGGTGACTTCAGTCTTCGCTGGTAGTGACAGTTGACTCAAGTCATATCTAGATGGAGTCGCCACAAAAGAAGTCAAAATCTTACTGAGCTCTGAAGATCCGCTCAAATTCAGGGTGACCGGTTGTCATGGGAGGGGAGATCTTGTACTTTCGCCGGGCATATATCACCTGCAGCACAAAATAGGCTAAAAAAAGAACAACACAGGAATAGTAACAGTCCAGCAGTGTTTGATGTAGCCAAGCCTTATCTAGTTTGGAATCAAGCAAGTGGTTAGAGGAAAAGAGCTGATACTGTCTCAGTTCATAGTCCAGGGCTGTCACACACGACCTGGAATGAATGTGCCATTTATTCCACACTCGTACTTTAAATTCAGATTTGGTTATCCTGGCAGAGTGCCTCTGCCGCAGAGCCGATGTGCTGGCTGGCGCTTTGCATAGTCTCACGCCCAGCGCGCAGCAGCAGACCCCCAGCAGATCAAACGCAGCCTGGTCCTGCAGGAAGGCCAGCAACACACACTAAAACCTTACCGAGTCCACACCTAATCACGGAATTATTATTCTTTTTTCATCTTGCGCTCTGTGTTGAGAGTATTAATACACCCTCTGCCAGTCTGATGTGTAACACCTTCCGCTACACCTAGCGGGCACAAAGCTTTTGTACAAGGATGGCCCCATGTCACAGAGCAGCATCCAAACTGTGAAGCACTGGGATGTCATTAAGTCCATTAGAGATGCTCGTAATCATGGCAATAGAAGGAAATGGGGAAGGGGGCGATTATTTCTTCCACTTAATTCCTGCAGGGTAGCCCCAAGGCTCGAGCAGTTCAAGGAGCAGAGACGTGCTGCCAATGGCTGCTACCAGCCAAGTTTGGGCCAAGGTACTAACTCGGTGTCTGCTACATCGCTCCTTTCTACATTTGTAAGGGACATGGAAAGTCACTTCAAAATGATGAAAACTTGTTAACATGAAGATTTGGACTGTTTCATTATTTGGCAAAAGCTCTTACTCCCACGAGTGATTGCTGATGTTTGAAGTGTTTATACTTAGGTGCACTACTACATTGCTGCTTTTATTGAAAATGAGAATTTTCATATACGAGAAAACTAAATTATAAAAACCAATTACTTTGGTGGCTGTGGCAGCATGCTGCTAAGCAAGTCACTTGGATTAGCAAGGTCCTAACGTAGCAACATTTCCAGAGCACTGAACAGAGAGACAAGGAGCCAGGCTGCAAGGACTGCCTTGCAGACTGTCTTATTCTAACAAGAGATAAAAGCAGAACAGCAGGAGAGAGAAAGGAAAGTAGGGACAGATGTTGCAAGATTAAAGACAAGACAGATCTATGCGCGCCTGCAGAAAAGCATGAGAACATATGTAAGAGAAAAGCGAATTAGAAATGTAAATAATCTCATGCTGTGACCTGTGTATTACACAACATATAATTCATTTAAATAAACAGACATTCATTTAAGAAAACATTCTCATATTCTAGTGTCTTCCACAGTGTGTGCAGTGAACCAGGCCTAAATAAGAGGTGCCGGGAGAGAAGCGTGGGGAGGAACAAGTGTGCTTCCCCAACCCCTCCCGGCCCCAATCTGTTTGTAGCACGTTGGTTATGGTTGAGGGTGAAGATCGTCCTGCCCCCGAGATCCAGCACGATGTGACACAGCACCCTCTCTGCAAAACCAGACAGCTTAGGTCTGCAGCAACGCACAGCGGGCGATTCAGCAGCGGCTGGCAGAGCTCTGGGAAAAAGATGATGAAGCTGTGACCCATCCTGTTACCTCCTCTTCACATCAGATAAGCCCCTCTCCCCTACGCAACTATTTAATGCTCGCAGGGTCTCATTCCAGCCACCTCTCAAGAAATGGACTGAGCTAAAGTTACTGCATCGTGCACAGCTCCAGCTTGTGGCATAAGCCTGACCGTGCTGGGCAAAAGTCTTCATCCTGTTTCACGCCATCTGCACCCTTCCTAACGCTGTGCTCTTGTGGCCCATGAGCACCCTAAGAATAATTTCAGACCCAACCTCTCCAACTCTGTGTTTAACATCTTGCTTGTGTACAGGGGTAAATATTCAGACAAGTCCTGCAACAGACCCCTTACGCTTAGGGATGAGTAATACATAAAACAACCAGCCAAGAGAAGCGAAAGCCTTTTGGAGGATGGCTAGCTGTCTGCCAAACCTGGCGTATGGGTGAAGCATTAAGGATGCAGAATCGCCCTCCAGAAGCACTTCTCAGAATGAGTGTTGAAAAAACACTACATTGTACAAACCTTCTCAGCAGGGACTTTTAGGGAAAAGAGTTCAATCTACTCTGCAGAACCTTCAAACTAGTTTCTTGTGATTCATGTCTCGAGGTTAAAAGCCTGTGTGGATTCCCACACAGCTCACAAGGGCTGAGCTCTCCTTGCACTTTGCTCCTCAGTGGAACGATCAGCCAGACCTTCATTCCCTATTTGATTATGTCCACAAACTTGTCAAGCATATCATAGCTGATACCTGCCACATTTGAGGGAACCTGGCAAACAAGCTCTCTGGGGACTGACAGTGACACTGCATAAGCTTTACTTTCTTTGAAGCCATAAAAAAAAAGAGGGGGGCCATGGGGACACAACAAAACTGTAGTAGCATTGTTCTGCTCTTGGGTATGACGTTCAACACAGGGCAGTGGCACGCATCTACAGAGCACTAAGCTCAGAGCTTTGCTAAACTGAGCATAACTAAATTAAGAAGGGAAAAGTTACTTGAAAGAATGCAGAAACTGTGGGCTTCCAGAAAACTTAAGAAGAAAGCAAAAATCAACCACCACCGTACTAAGCTCAGCTGTTAAATTATGTTCCCTACATCAGGATGTAACAGAAGAGTATTTGCAGGTATGGCGCACATCCCTGTTTCAGTGCTCTGCCTTCTCAGAATGAATTTCAGATCTGTAATTCACACACAGAATGTCCTTTCAAAAGGTGCAAAAAAAGCTACTGCACAGCTCTGAATCAAGGTGACATTAGCGCACATATTTCTTACTACTGGAGAGAATGGAAACCTGTAGTATTTTGCAATTGTTCCTTGGCTTCCCAAGCAGAGACCACAAAACAAGGCTACTTTGTCCGATCTAACATAGATAGGAGGGTGCCAGTGCTTGCTATTTATCTGCTGGCTTCACACCTACGTACTGTTTGCATAGCATAATGCAACCTTTAAAAAATACTTCAAGTTCTCATAAAACACATATATGTGACAAAACTGCCATCTAGGGATTGGCTACTGAGGGTTTCCCAATGGAAAGGGCTTAGCAACGTTTCCGTAACTCAATTTCAAGTTTTCATGTCTTCTCTTTGCACACTAAACGCTCCCTCCATCCCCACTTAGTTTAATAACAAATAAATTCCTAAGACTAAAGTACCTTCCATTTGTAGTTGCTGACACTTGTCTGTAAATGGTTTGAGGGAAATTACTGATAACTCAGAAATCTTTAACTGTATTCTTCAAGTAAAGTATTTGTGTTTTAAATAATGCTTTCATTAAGAGATTTATCATCTGATGGCTAAAAATACATCAGGCTGCTCAGAGATTCACATTCATTTGTAAGAAAAGAGATATGGTAGCTTTATAGTGAATTAATTCAGTAATACCCCCCCCCCAAACCTTCCCTCATAGAAATGTGAAGATTTTCATAAAATGGGGGGCTCTGTCCCTACCCCAGGAGGGGGGGGGAACATCCCCTTCTGTGACCCTCCTGAAGCCCAAGGGGGAGATGCCTTTGCCCAAAGGACTCACAATTAAACACAAGAGGTAGAGCTTGGCAACACTACCGCTTCTTTCTAAATGGTCTAAACCAAATGCATCTATTTAAATTACAAGAAGTCGCTGAGTTTCTTTGCAGATGTCTGCTTCTATTTCTGACCAGAAGGGTTTGCATTAGTTTCCGAATTACTGCGTGCTGTCAACTCATCTTGTCACCTGCTCCGTGCAGCTAAGCTAGATGAATTGAACACATAACGATACCGGTCACAGAGAAGAAATACATGCGTACATGATACTCTTTTCCATATACATACAATATGTGTTTGTAGACTGACCTCTTCATCAGCATATTTGTTAACCTGCCTTTATTTTGGTTACCTCCAGCCACTCTAAGTTAGAAATTACCTGCAAAAATGCAAGCACAGAAAATGTTTTAAAGACATCTGATTGTTAAAATTAAGTTTCAAAGTAAAACTTAAATTTCATTTCCTTCTAGGATGCTGGCTTTGAGGTTTGCGAATCATTTTAGTCCCTATTAAATAATGAACCTCCTCAGGCATGACACTTCCACTGTAAACAGCCAAACATAATTTTACCATGTTGGAAAACAGCAACTTTCATTCCACCAAGACTCCAAGCAAAACAGAGGAACCGAGTCCCACAAAGTTCAGTATAATTAGCTTAATACTAATTAAGCGTTATATAAAGGACATTTACCTTGCTCCAGGACTCCCAAAACCGTGACAGTGGCCAGCAGGTCTATCTGATTTCTCATGTTGCTGACTGCAGACCAAACCCTAGCCAGGTGGGATGAGTAGAGCTGCTCTCCAACCCTCTCTCCAAGCCTCCCACTACTACCACAAGCTCTGCCACAGAGCCTTCTTACTGCTCCTGCAGCAACACGTGTTTCCTCCACCACACCTTAACTCTCTCCACACCACACCATCTTCCAAAGCAGCCAGCCATCAGAAAATACCTATTCCAGGCAAGTGCCTTTTGCTGAACTACATAACAGCAAAAGTTTTGCAGGTGCAAACTGTTAAGTTCTTGCAATTATATTTACAGCTTTTGTACCGTGGTTGAATTATAAGTTGCCAGCAATTGAAAGATGATGGGATTTTTTCCAACCCTTTTATCGCTATCTTAATCAGCTCTAAAGCATCTGAATTATGTGTGAGGTTGTAAAAATTATTAACAAGCATTTACAAATTAATGACTTGACCTTCTGCTCATATTCCAAGTAGTGGAGTTGACCCATGTTTAAGATTTTCTAGACTTCAGCTGGAGTAACTGAATTCTGTTACTGGATTCTGAATTTTTAAAAGACCATTCAGATTTTTTAATCCTATTAATTAATACTGTAACTTTACCAAATAAGAGTAGAGTTCCTTCCTAGCACTCAGTCACTTTTTGTAGTTTTCTGATGTCTTTAAAATTTGCAGTACAAACCTTTTCCTGGCTAACATACAAAATATAAAGTTCTCAGTTCCGAACGGAAGGCAGCAGAGGATGTAGAAATACACAGACCCTCAGAAATGTTACACCGATGTCAGAATTATAATTGTAAAACGTAAAGTTTGAAAAGCGGCAATATTTTAGCCCTGAATAACTTTCCTCCCCATTCCACAAAAGCAAAATATGCATCAGTTCAAAAAGTTATCTTGTGTTTTGGAGCAACTTTATATGGATAAGACTACTCTGATTTTAAAGTTTTTAAAACCAAAAAGGAGGAAAAAAAAAGGTATCATTCATTATCAGCTAAGGTTTTCCCCTAATTTTGGTGAGCAGAGGGCACAGGATATGGTTGAGCCATTGCATTTCTCTCTGTATAGTCACACACACAAAACCTCAGTACAGAATTTGTGCGCAGTACCAACAAGAAGCGACCAGACCTACAGTTTCTCCCAAGTGGGATGCAGCAAGCTTGTTCTTCTGGTTTGGCTCTCCATTGCCTCAAACCACTATCATGACAGCTTATCAAGTTGAAAACTTATGTTAATTAATTCAAATATACAATTGTACACTAAAAAAAAAAAAAAAAAAAGAATTAAAAAAACCAAAACCACTCCCTCCCTCTGCAAAACACTCCTATGATGTGGCTTTAGACCCTCCAAGCTCCTAGCAAACCCAGACTGAAATAAGAAATAAAACAATTAACCTTAACAGAATCTATTGGTGACCCAAGATTTCATCTGGGGTGTCTAATATAAAAGCCAGAGGGGAAACGTCAGCAGGAATCATCTACTGCTTACACCATTTCAAACAATTCAGGCTTTAGAAAATACTTCCATTACAGATTTACATTAGCCTCAGAAAAGAGGCTAACACCAAGCAAAAAAGAAAAAAAGAAAATAGGTTTCTGCACAGAGGTTGGTCACAAGCTGCCACTGACTCAAGATCTTTGGAAAACATGCACATACACATCACTTCAACAGGGGACAGTTTGGGAAATTTCTGGTTTACTCAACATTAAATAAATGCAGCCCTTTTAAGGGGACAATAAAGCAAAAGTTAATAAAGTAATAACTTCACAGTTCCCCTCAGGCTAGAAGCAGCTCATCCTGGTATTGTTATTTGTTATTATATTTGGTTCTTTATAAGCTTCTGAAGTTCCAGGTCCCCTCCACTCCCCAAACACAACAAACTTGTGAAGTAGGAATATACTCAAAATATACTCAGATCAGGATGCACTTTGTGAAGAAATCTGAAGGCTGTGAGCTGGGGCCTTAAATATGATAGCTGTAGAATAAGACACCAACTTCAATGCTTGGAGAATGAGCCTTCAATGTTGGAAGCTGATTAAAGTTCTTATTACATGGGGGAGGATGCTTGAAATTAAAGTTAAGATGTAAAATGAATACAGCCTTAGCAAGAAATGCATGTGTCACACTTTGCAAATTCTTTATCGCTACTGCTAAATCTGTGGTTAGAGAGATTTGAGATGTTAGTTTAGAACGTAAGACTAGATATCATCAGTTAAAATGCACACTTGACAAACAGGAAGTACTACATAATAACTGAATTCTTGGTTCAGCTGCAAGTAGTATGATTCACTAAGAGAACTGCTTTGAAGTATTCAGAGTAATTCGTCAAGTAATAACTTGTTAACAAGAACATATTAACATCCAAGCACCCACCACTAAAGCTAGGCTCCTCTGGGCACTGATGGAGCCAGACTGTTGCTTTACTTCCCTTCTAACCAACATATGGGTAAGTGTCCATCTTAAGAGGCTCAACAATCCAGCAAGGTCTGAAAGACCTGTTTTGCCATTATTTTCCACAGCCGCTTCAACCCACCAGCTCTACGCAGTGGCTTAGGGACCTTACCAGCTTGAAGCCAAAAATCCTCACACAACTTGCTGCCAGTATTTTGTTCCTTGTTCAGAAACATTAACTCATGCCTGCAGTACATGTTCCTCATTTCTCAGTTTGGTTCTTCTTTGCGTCTGTGTGCCATCTGCCTACATCAAACAAACAATCTTTGTCTTTCTTCAAGTCTCAAGGAAACCAGTTTGAACCTCTAAGGCCTGTTATTTTGAGGGAATGTGAGCATATTTTTGGAACTCTACAATTTTGCACATGTGAGGTCTCAGTCATTATTAACATCTTTTTCACTAGTAACAACAATCTCTGCAGTCGTATTTCCTAGCTTAAGGCCTACAACTGCATTAAAAAAAAAAAGTCCAGAAGCAGTGGGTATAGCATAATGCCTTGTTTCCAAAGTAAAGTTTTCTAAGGCCTCTTTATCCAGTTCTGGCCTGTTAAAATGGACTTTCTGAAACCGTAAGAATTGGCAAGACACAGCAGAAAAATTTGAGCCTAAGTAATAGGCTGACCAAAATTGTGTGTTGGGATGAAGGGAACCATCTCACTAGGCACAACAACTCTGAACTCTGCTCAGCTCACACAAATGTATAAAGTCACACCATGTATGTTTAATACACTAGCAAAATATTTATTTTATAATGATAAAACAGAAGTGAAGGATTTCTTTTTGGTGTGCACCAGTAATTGTAGTAAAAGAATAAGGGGATTAATGGACTCTTTATACATTTCAATGACAAAAATTCATAAAGGTTAGCATCAAATTCAACTGTTCTCCATTTACAAGCATAAAACTTACCATAATACCCCCCAAACACATATATAAAGAATTATAGTTTTAAAATCTATAAAAAGTAAAAAATATACAGTCAGAAGATCTAACTCTTATTCAAATCTTTAATATAAAATTGTAAACATTTATTTACACAAAGGAAATGTGTATAACAAAATTTTGAGCACCCTTTTCAATTGAATCGTGGTTTTTGGAAGGCAGTGGATGTTGCACAGTGACACTCTCACCTTTCCCACCCAACCAAAACCGCAGTTTATAAATAAAGCCATGGGCGGCTGGCTAGGTACAGTTCAGGGGAGATACATTTTATTGCTCTGAAGCTGCAGCAAATGGAAAGCCCAAGTGCATATATAGACAGCTACACGTTAAAGGGCATAAAGGCAAAGCCCAGCCCTACCCATGCACCTATGTACATCTAAACCGTATTTTCATTTCCATTGAACTGTTTCAACTTTGTTACAGTGATACGATACCGTATTTCCAACAATCTGATTGCATTATGTGGACAGGGACCAAAACCAGAAGCGAGGGCTGTTTTTTCTATCAGGTTAAATGCTGTTTGGATCCTGTTCACGTATGGGCATTATAAGCCAGTTTGCCTAGAATCACACTTAATTTTACTTCAACAGTACCATGAAAAGGCCCTGTCAACAAATCTACACACCCTCCTGAACAAACCCTCTGGTCAAGCAGGGCAATATCCACCTTAGCTTCCAGAAACAGTGGAGGAAAGAGTACAATCTGCATTTTCCTGGACATTTAGCTGGATTGCCTTTTTGGTAGTAATAATGCAAACAGCAGATGTTCTTTTCCTCCAATTAAGAAATCACAACTGGATGGATTGTATTTTGACTTACTCGGAACAAAGTCTGTGTGCAAAATCTACTGGAAAACGTAGCAGATTTCACCACAACCTAAACAGGGAAGAAAGAAAAGCTGAATCCTACTACCCTGTTATTTCTCTCAAGTGTTTGTAAGGGGGAGAAAAAACTAGTGACATTGAAGGATGTCACTTGAAATTATGAGGTCCCAAGCACCCCCAACAGGAAGGGAAGGCACACTGGTGCAAAGTTAATCCTTAAAAATAAAAATACAGCAAACACTCCTTCCCCTGCCATTGCTAGTTTATATCTATACTCTTCTAATGACACTTACCTTGGACCAGTTTTTGGTTTAACTTAACAGTAAACCAAACTCACTAGCTCTTTTCTTAGATTGCCAGCATAAGAAAAGTTAGCATCAGTTATTTGCATCTCAACTACTTATTCTAGAAAATATCAGAAGTGTCAACAACCAAAGTCACTAACACCTTCATCTTCCCATCCAAAGACAATCTTTATGTTATCTTTTCAAAAGCTCTACGAGGGATTAAGTCTGCTTCAGTGGACTATTATCCACTATTCAACGGTGGGATCCACTGATCAATGCACATCTTTCACCAACAGTTCAACATGATACAATATCAAATCTGTTCAACAGAGCGTAATTCATCCACACTAGGTAAGTGTGCTGGACAAACCATGTTCCATGCATATTTGGAAAGGGTAAAAGTATTAGTGTTAAAAAGCAGTTTTTAAAAGTGCAAATTGTCTCATAAAGGAGCTGCAGATACAGTAAAATATTTTCCTTCTTTGAAATCAATGTTATCCTTCACTTCC